GGCGAGAGAGAACGTGAGAGGTTGAGAGACAGCGACCAGAGAGAGTGAGAGAGACAGAGAGAGCGAGCGCGAGGGTGAGAGAGAGAGCGAGAGAGAGAGAGCGTGAGAGAGAGGGAGAGAGAGAGAGAGAGAGAGAGAGAGAGAGAGCGAGAGAGAGGGAGGGAGAGAGAGAAGAGAGTGAGAGAGAGCGAGAGAGAGAGCGAGTGAGGGTGAGAGAGAGGGAGTGCGAGTGAGGGTGGGGAGAGAGAGAGAGAGAAAAAGAGAATGAGAGCGAGCGAGAGAGGGAGAGCGAGAGAAAGAGAACCAAAAATAGGGAAAATGGGCTAGCGGAAAAGAGAATGCAAGAGAGGATGAAAAACATGGAACGATCCAGTACTGGACCAAATGCTAACAAATTTCGTCGTACAGTCATAATTTCGGCTTCGATCAATTCTCATGAAATTGATTGTGCGTTCTTGATAGGTTTTCGAAAGTCTGACAAAAAAGAGGGTTCTTTAGGATTCCCGGGGGGGGGGAAAGTATTCCCGGGGAAAACAAATTTTTTTCGGCGAAAGCCTAGATTTTTGTATAAATTGCGGATGCGTTTCTAAATTGTTTTTAACTATTCCTGTGCATAAAAACTACACACATTTTAACCAAAAAAATGTAAAAAATTAAAAATTAGGTCGAAAAATAGACCCAAAATGACCAAATTTTCGACTTTTTCAAACATTTTTCTAAATTTTTCTGAAAGTTATTCCGCTCTAAATATAGTTAAAACTTACTAAAAACAATTCGAAAACACTTTATATTTGATTACTAGGCCAACCGGGACCACCAGGAAAAAAATTGGTTTCCCCCCGGGAATACTTTCCCCCCCCGGGAATCCTAAAGAACCAAAAAGAGCTCTTCGCCTCAAACAGCTTTTGACTACCTATAATTCGTAGAATCGTAGAAATCAGCGAATTCTCCAGAACGCTAGCGGGGTGTTTTTTTGGCACCCACTAATGACAAATCAACAACCAACGAGCTGGCTAAATAATTCAGAGAGCAGGGTCTCTACAAATCGATTTATGACGGTCGGGTTGGTGGGATGGCTCAAAAAACAGTGGCAAGGGGGCCTGATCGAGCACGAGCCCCGAAGCTGCCGGCGCGAAGAGGAGCGCGGGATGTATTGATTTGGCCTGTGGACCCTCTTAGGAAAATCAACGCCCACCCCAGACACACATTTCGAAAACAGGGTGCTGTTGCGGTGACTAATCAAATCTGGGAATTTCAAGGAAATATGGGGAAAAGTCCAAAATGCAGACACCCAAAACGCAGAATGCTAAAACGCAGACAGCCAAAATGCAGACAGCCAAAACGCAGACAGGACAAAACGCAGACAGCCAAAACGCAGACAGCCAAAACGCAGACAGCCAAAACGCAGACACTGAATATGCAGACACCGAATATGCTGACCCACTGAATATGCAAACAGCCAAAACCATCTCATAACTCAACACTTTATTCTTCCCATCCGAAATACAACTGCTGGTACAAGCACAGGAGAAGATCATTTTTGGGATGGATGAGGATTGGAGATTTTGGGATGATGCGAAGATATGCGAAAGTTGACATCGCTGTCGAATTAGGTGAATCAGGTGTCTGCATATTCAGTGGGGTCAGCATATTCGGTGTCTGCATATTCAGTGTCTGCGTTTTGGCTGTCTGTGTTTTGGCTGTCTGCGTTTTGTCCTGTCTGCGTTTTGTCCTGTCTGCGTTTTGGCTGTCTGCGTTTTGTCCTGTCTGCGTTTTGGCTGTCTGCGTTTTGGCTGTCTGCGTTTTAGCATTCTGTGTTTTGGTTGTCTGCGTTTTGGCTAGAAATCGGAAATATGTAATGGCTGTCAAAGACAGCTAGCTAAATATAGGTCCTTCAGAAATTGAATAGAATAACAACCAACTTTCGACATTACTGCTGTATATTTATAATACTACTGTATTATTGTATAGCATCGTAGATCTTGAGAAACGTAGAATACGGCTAAACCTTGAAACAACAGAATTTGTCTGATTCTAGGAATGGCCAACATTTTCAAGTTTCTTCCGATAAAGCTTTTTGCCAAATAAGATCCGATTGAACATTTCTCTAATACTTCATTCCAAATTTCGGCTGCGCCACTGAACATAAAATCGTAGTTTTGCACTTTAGAGATGGGAAGGCAAGGGCTACGGTATATGGGGGGTTAGGGGCGGAGAGACGCTTTGTCCGGGCGGTCCAATGAAAAGAGGCGAGGTCTGGTTCGATGGCGGAAAAGAGCGGAAAAATATGGAGACAATAGGCGCAAGGATTGAAAAGACAAATGGATAGAGAGAGAAAGAGAGGAGAGTGAGAGAGACAGTGGGAAAGAGAGTGAGAGAGGGAGAGTGAGATAAAGAGAGAGCGAGGAAGAGAAAGAGAGATAGAGTGAGATAGAGAGAGAGAGAGAGAGAGAGAGAGAGAGAGAGAGAGAGATGGAGAGGGATTGAGGGATTGAGTTAGTGGGTTAGAAATCAAGAAGCGAAGAGAAATGTCAGATATTGAGTCGAGGTGTTAGAGAGAGAGAGAATGAGTGAGTGAGAGAGAAAGAGAGCGAGCGAGATAGAGAGAAAAGCGAAATGAAAAAAAGAGAGATTGAGTTGGTGGGTTGGGGGGAGAGAGTGAGCGAGACACATTACATTTGAAAATTAAATTAACAGCAGCCAAAACAGGAGTTGAAAAACAATATTAGAAAAGCAATGCCCCCCTCGTTCACCCCAAGACGATCGGTCTGATCTGAATTCCAGCCGGAACCCCGAAATTCAAAACGCAGACAGCCAAAACGCAGACGCCCTGAGATTATTGTTTCAGTTTCTAACTCTCACTCTCTCCCCTCTCCTTCTCCGTCTCTCGCTTCCTCCAACTCGCTACTTCACTCTCCCGCCTGTATCTTTCTCGTCCTCATCCTGTACCCTCTCTCTTTATCTCTGTCCCCGTCCTCTCGCTCTCACGCCCTGTCTTCCTTCGCTATATTCGTGTCGCTTTCGCCCTACTCACTCTCGCTCGCTCTCTCTCTCTCTCTCTCTCTCTCTCTCTCTCTCTCTCTCGCTCTCTCTCTATCCCGATCGCTCTCTCTATCTCTCTATCCCTATCGCTTTCTCTCTCCCTCTCCCTCTCTCTCTCTCCCCCCTCTCTCTCTCTCTCTCTCTCTCTCTCTCTCTCTTTCTCTCTTTCTCTCTCTATCCCGATCGCTCTCTCTATCTCTCAACTACAACTCTCTCTCTCTCTCTCTCACACTCTCTTTCTCTCTTTCTCTCTCTATCCCCATCGCTCTCTCTATCTCTCAACTACAAAAGCCTCTTGACGATACGGTATCTGAGAGTAGTGCATGGGACTGTCTGAGAGGGGTAACAACGACCTTCTAGAAGATGTGGCTTCATCCGGACAAGATTCAGAAGCTCAGGCAATCAACCGCTTCCCATCTTCTAATAATACTCCGACACAAGCTAGTAATATTACGACAAAAGCTTCATAACGATACGGTATCTGAGAGTAGTGCAGGGACTATGAATAGAGGAAAGCTTTAGAATCAAGCCGTTGGCAGAGCGGTAGGACGTGTGGGTTTGGCAAAGAGAAGCTTAAGAGAGATCCGGCGATGCCTAAAGGTCATTATTGCGCTTGGTTCTAGGCGTTACCGTGTACTGTATACCGTGCGCCAGTTGCCTTTGCGATTTCGTTTGGGTTACCGAGATTCTTTCGGGTGGATATTTATTCGAAGTGACGAGTATGACAATGCGTAGGATGGCAAAGCAAAAAATTAAACGAACCATTAAGCGGAATGGGGAATATTCGAGTATGATGGCACAGGGAAAATATTGGGGTAATGCGTGGGCTTATTAACGGGGCCTGGCGCCGGCTCTCTTCTTCTGAGGTAGTCGGAATCCGTGCCCGGTCATCGCTTCCACCAAGTGCACGGTGCAGTGTGCTGAAGAGAATGGTTGTGTGGGACTGCATTTTGAAACTCACTCGATTTTGGGGGACAGGCCTTGCGACAGACTGGGTGCGGCATCAACTTGAGGCGTTGAACCCGGCGGCTAGAAAATGGAAGGCTTGGATAGCTTGAAGAGGTTTACCGGAATCGGAGCTGGCACGGTTCACAAGCTGTTACACCCATCATTTCATCGACGGGCCGAGCTTTTTCGCACCAGCTACATACGCCCGGCTAAAGAAATGTTGCGGAATGGGGGTGGGGGAGGATTTTTGGATTATTTGCTGGGCTACGGACAGGGGAAGTTTTGTTGACCCATATGGCAAAACACTACGCAAGGTCCTCAATCGATAGAGAGTTGAAAGTAATATATACTTGGCTTGATGGATCGCAACATTGGCAAAAACCTCACTTTAAAACGTAAATAACTGTTTAAAAGTCTGGGGCTCCTCAAAAACTAATTTTGAAAGCCTCACTTCATTTATCTATCCATTCACATAGGGATTTTGCGACATGGGCCACAAAAACTCTTCCCTGGGGAATATTTGTTGAACGGTATTTGGAGCAGTAAGTAACATGGCCAAGTATATTTCTGACAAGGAGACGTTTTTTAGTGTCCAAGGAGTTTCGGTATGGGACCAAGCCTATTTTATGCAGAATTTTGCGTTGATTAAAACCTCATTTTCAGGATCTTCGAAACGACCAAAATAAGAAAGTTATGACGCTTTAAAAGGCAAAAAACGGCAAAAGTTGTCCATTTTGGGTATCTTTCACACATTAAAGCTTTATAACTTTTGAAATAGGATTGTTTCGCATATTCTGAAACGAAAGTTTTGCTGAGCGCAAAATTCTGCATAAAATAGGTTTGGTCCCATTTCAAAATCCCGTGGAAAAACGTCTCCTCGCGAGGGTCCATCGAGCCGTCTTGAGAAAATCTCGAACGCTGGCTTTCCAACCCGTCTCACAGATGTTTTAATATCCAGTGGGCTGGAGGAGAGAGAGAAAGGAATCCTCTGCTTGAAAATAAGGCGCTCACTCTCCACGGCTGTCCTGCCGTCTTTCGCTTGTGCGTCGCTGGGGCACGCGGCAGAGCAGCATCAGCTGCAGGTCGAACTCGATGAGCGGCGCCGGCGGGTCGAACTCCAGGCTGAAGGACTTTTTGTCTTACATTGTATTAGTGCGGTCGATTATTAATAACCAAGCTTGTGGAGAATGTTTTTCCGATTCGAATGGTCTACAGTAGAGATGTTATTATTCAAATCAAATCTGAGGATTTGAAAGTTTCTCAAATCAAATCCAGATTTGATTTGATTTTCCGGCAGAATCAAATCAACTCGGATTTGATTTGAACCGGAAGTCCAATTCAAATCAAATCCTGGACCGATTTGATTTGATTAATTTGAGCAACCCAAATTTCCGAAGCAAATGTGAGAAAATGGATGCTTATCGGCAATTTCCGGTTTATTCGATTATGATCATATGCAAAACATTAAAAGTTTCCCTCTTTTGCCTACATTTTTTGGTGCTCGACTTGTGATTTACATCCGTAAAAATGACTGCAGATTTGAAAGTTTCTCAAATCAAATCTGGATTTGATTTGAAAATCCAGCCAGTTTCAAATCAAATCCAGATTTGATTTCGGCGGAATCAAATCTCAAATCTTCTTATTCAAATCAAATCGGATTTGAGTAGGATTTGATTTGAATAATAACATCTCTAGTCTACAGGGTGTCCCAGTAAAAAAACCACCCGACCCCTCTAACTCGACGCAGAAGTATCGGATCGGAAAGGTAGTTGTTAGTTGTTTGGTTGTTTAGTTGTTTTTTTTATTGGGACACCCTGTAATTGTTAACCCGCCTACAGCCTACCATCACTTATGGGTTTGAGGAATAAATAAGGGTTTTTCACCGTTTTTCACAAAATTTTTCTTCAACTTGAAATCGCAATCATGAGGGTTGGTAGAGGTAGTTCACATACGGTGGGTTGCTTACTTGGATGCCCTTTTTAGACTCATTGAAAAATCGATGGGTCATTGTTAGAGAATAATGCTCGTACCTGGAGGACGCGGACCTGCTTGCCCCGACGAGGGACGGTGGGAGCAGCGATGGCGTGGCGAACGACTTGGTGTTGCTGTGCGGCAGGTAGTGGGAGAGGCACATCGTCATCATCACCAAAAAGTCGCCAATCGTCGAACCATTCCGCTAATTCGTCGACGGGTGGCAGCGGTGGCGCAGCTCGAGGATTGGCCTGGAAATTAACATAATAAAGGTGGGACAGTGGGACTTGAAGGCGCTGTTCGGCTTCAACTGCGACTATAGAGCGCCGCCCAAAACGGTTCTGTTATTGTGGGTGTGTGGATGTCACTTTCGAAGCCCAATCTGAGGCCCTTCTCATGCATAAAATACCCTAATTCTCGGTCAGCAGGGGGAATCGACCCTTTTGTTTCCGATGGCGTTTTCAGAATCCCGCTAAAATACAAGCTTACAAAGTTGGCGCCGGTTTTATCGCTTTTTGGAGTCGGGTAGGGTTAATTTTCATAATGTGGAAAAATATAAATTTCTTCATTCTTGCCAGTTGCACTCGCGATTGTGGTCGGGAGCGGGGATTAGCCCGAAGAACCCCCGGCTATCGGAAAGTAATATTCTTCATTCAAAGGCCGCATTCCAGCGCGTAAGGCCTGAGAAGCGGGTTTCGGGCGCTGGTAGAGAGATAATTTTATTTTGCTGTGAAATCCGGTAGCCAGGGTCGGTGCTCGTGGATTTGTTCGTCAGGTGAAAATGTTTGGGTAGTAGGGTATCCATTTAACTCTGTAGATCTATGATAGTTCGCACGGCAGGCACTTTTTTTGCGGAGCCGGTGTGGGAAAAGCTGAGTTGCCTTGAAACAACGAGATGTCTGCTTCGCCACAGAATGGGCTTTATCGCAAGAACGGAATCCACAGTCTAGTAATTCACATGATGAGGCGAGTATTCGTATCGTATGAAAAGGAGATGGCGTATCAATCGACCATGAAGTAAGAGAGGGGAATCACACACATTAAAGACCCTTGGAAAGATGGCCGGGCGTCCCCAGGGGTGAGGGACCGACGGGGCGATACCATGCACGCTTTCCATCGCGTAAGGGCCCCCAAAACCGGGGACTGGGTTTGAAGAAAACAGATTTATAGCTATAACTTTTTTGATTGACGATATTTTTGGCGAGAAATTTCCATAGACATAATTTATAGCCGTCCCCATCGATGGTAAAAATTTGAGGCTGATTGGATAGAAGGCAGCCATGTTCTGAGCGGAAAGAGGTTTTTGGGACGCTCTTTAGTTGAAAAATCGTCAGAAAAGGCATAAAACACTCCAGGAAAGTTGGGGCTTACTTTGCTTTCCTTTATCAAGCTTTTATATAGCATGTTTCGTTATTATTACTTATAAATAGCTTTATTTTCAATTGTTGCCCAGTAAAGCGTACCAAATCACCCCTAGGGTATTTGAGGCCCCTCCGCCGCCCCAACCCAGTCGGCCCCTTTGGTGTGGTGGTAGCGCGTTGGACTGCGGAGCGGACGACCCTGGTTCGACCCCCACCCGGTGCACCCCCTTAGTGCGTTTTGACCAATCCCATCTTTCCAGAGGCCTTTAAGGGGCACGGAATGTTTTTTGTGTAAGTTGTACGTATGATGCGGTGTGAAAGTCAGCCACCTATCCGACCCGTCTTGAAACACGGACCAAGAAGGTGGCGGCATGTTGGGCATCTAGCGCTTCGGGTTTGGCTTCTACTTCTGCAATGCAGTCAATAAACAAAGGCTCGTGCGCGGATGGCAAGAATGACTTTTTTTCACCACGCAATGTTTTCCGACTTTTCCGACCACACATGCGCGTGCAACTGGCAAGAATGAGGAAATTTCCAATTTTTGGTATTATGCAAATTACCCTCGTCCAAAATTTAATACACCGGCTCTAACGTTGTAAACTTGTATTTCATAAACAAACACACAGACATACAAAGATACACGCCAAAATTATATAAAGTAGGATAACTTTTTAGCAACCGGAAACTATTCAAGCAACTATCGAAATCGATATCTATGACCAACAGGTCGAAAACAAAAATCCCTTGCAAAAACTTCCGCGCGCTAACAGTCCAGTACGTAGAAGCCTATGGAAACTGCCCACAGATAACCGAAAAAAACTGTTTTCAAGGAAATTTGAAAATTTGTTGGGTTTTGGTATAACAAGGAGCAGTGAGGCTTTAATGTTTCCCGTGCTTTAAATTTAAGTTAGAGGTACACCGGTCTTGAAATGCCTACAGGATGGGGAAGAACCCATTTGAGTAATACAACGTTAAGTACAAAAATCAGTAGAACCTAATAAAATTCAAATTAAATTTACCTTGCCCTTTAACAGGCTTGAGAAGACCAGGTAGAGGCGGGTCAGGGGGGCGGCCCGGGGGGGGGCGGCAGGCGGGGGCGGCAGGCGGGGCGGGGCCTGAAGAATTTTTGGTTGTACGTTGTACACTTTAGTACAGTTTTTATGTTTAGCAATAGTAAAAAACCATTTCGAAACAATTCCACTATATGTGAAAAATCAGGTCCTAAGAAAAAAGGGGGAAAGAACCCATTTGGGTAATATTATACTACGCGCAGTACAAAAGGCAGGAAAACCAGGTAAAATTAAAAATTAAGTTTACCTTGCCCTTTAACAGGCTTGAGAACACCCGGGGGCGGGTGAGGGGGCGGCGACGGGGCGGCGAGCGGGGCGGCGTGCGGGGCGGCGGGCGGGGCGGGGCGGGCGGGGCCTGAAACCCACTCGGGGAATATCATACTACGCGAAGTATAAAAATCAGGAAAACCTAGTAAAATTAAAAATTAAATCTACCTCGCCCTTTAACAGGCTTGAGAACACCCGGGGGCGGAGGAGGGGGCGGCGGGCGGGGCGGGACGGGGCCTGAAAAGTTTTTGGTAGGTGGAGATGAATTCGGAATTCTTTGAAGGTTTTTAAACTCGATATGGGGGTATACCCCCTGGGGGTATGCAAGAGTATAACATTTGGAATTAGCGCAAGGTATGCACGCAGGCGAGCGCAACCGGCAAAAATGAGGAATTTCATGTTTTTTTCATTTGCTTTATGCAAAAGAGACGTACTGGGCCCCAAAAATGAATAAAACCGGCTTTACCTTTACAAACTTTTATTTTAGCGGGATTCTGAAAACGCGATCGGAAACAGGAGGGTCAATTCCCCCAAGTGACCGAGAATTAGGGCATTTTATGCACGGGGAAGGGCCGCAAATCGGGCCTCGAAAGTGGCATCCACACACACGCACCGACAGAGATACACCCCCAAAATTATAGAATGGTAGGATATAAGGTGGGATTAAACCGGACTTAGCGTTTCCCGTCAGTCAGTTTCCTTTTATCTTTTATATTTTATATTTTTCTAGCTGCCTAGGTTTGGGCTTACATTAGGCTTACATTCGAAACTCTATGTCCAGGTTGTTTTCATACATCAAAAATTGCTAGGCATCTTTTACGGGTTTTTTGAAAGTTGTAATGAATCGGCGATAAGCATCAGCTTACCCGGTGTTTGTAACTCGAATATTTCATTTTTTTTTGCGTTTTGCAAATCAAAGGTACTGTGTTTTTACTTTAGGTTTGAATGGGTACATTTTGGTACCTCTGCTAGCTCTGTGCGTTCAAGAAGGGTCGATATACAGAGACTAAATTTGGACCGGCAAAGGGAACTTAAGTAACCCAGGCTTAGAATTTTTATAGATATTTTCGAAAGTATTGACGTAAGAAAACAACTTGGTCATGGAGTGTCAGGAATGGCGACCATTTTTAAATACTCGGCGCATTAATAGGACTTATGGCTGTAAAGCGGGCGGGGCGAACCCAACGTTGCGCACCTTGAATAGGGGAGCAGCAGCGGCCAAATTGAGCAGATCGATCGGCGTCCAGCTCTCCATCATCATCCTCCAGACGCGGGGCGGAAGATGGGCGTACGCGCCGAAGGCCAGTAGGTTGCCGGGCGGTCGCTGGAATACAAGAGGTGCTGGACTGTTAACGGGGGGGGCTTAGGCTTGGCATGGAAAGCTAATTTTTTCCGCCTGTTGATGATCTATGGCGTGCTTTTTTTTGGTAGTATTTTTTTTTGGTAATAAAACTATTTTAGACAAATTTAGAAAGTTCCAAAATGCCTCCTTTTGACAATTTTTCATGCATTTTTGGCTCCCAAGTCATCAATTTTCGAAAATATTCATAACCTTTTAATCGGCTTTCTTTAAAAAACGGTGTAAAATGCAATAAAATGGTCGATATTTCGTGGTCAGGGTGTACGGAAATGTCTTTAACTTTTTGGTCGAAAATGCCTGAAAAATGATCAAAAAATGTCAAAATTTTCGCACTTTCGAAAATTTTAAAAACCTTCCCCCCGCTAATAGTCTAGTATCGGGTAAATTGGATCATTGGTGAGCAGAATTACAGATATCAAATTAATACCTTCATCGATTGCAACACGCACACTTCGTCCGAATCACCGACGTGTTGCCTGATGGGAGAAGTGGCAACCTGAACGCCGAACTTTTGAGCGATAGCTGATAGTGACTACCGATCTCATCGTCGGACGAGGCACGAAAATCGGATGTGACGATCTTCGGGGGGCAAGGAGACGACCGCCGAGGCAGAACTCGTGGTCGATCAGGAAGAACAACAATTTCACGCGAACCGGGAAAAAACGAGCAGAGATGCAAATATGGTATGTAAATTAACGTGCAGAATCCACTTCGCAGGGCTTTTTACACTCTCGCTTTAATTTTGGGACTTTAACTCGTTTTGATAGTGCATAGAGAAAATACTCCGATTTTTAAATACACCTCAAAATCTGGCATTGAAAGAAAGTGAAAGTGAAAAAAAATGAAACGCAGGTTGCAAAGTTGTTGGATTTCGAGATTTTGCCTGTTTTGGATTTTTGAGGACGTCTTTCGACGGACCATCGAAGGTAGACTACGGATTTTTAAATCCAGCTCGAAATAAGATACCTTATATAATTTCGGGCCCATCTCTGTGTGTATGTCGAAAGCGGTGAGCCCCTCACCCTCCCTGGAGTGTAAATACACCAAGGGGAAATAAATCCCACAGGGGAGGCTCGGTTGCCACCTCGCCGCTTCGGCCGTAGTTTGCACTACC